AATATAAAAATTTAACTAAACCTTCAACCTTTAAACGCAATAAAACTTTCTTTAAGAGAAAGATGACCACTTGTAGACAAATACAAGAACTCATGTTGCCGAAACCGTTGCCCAGGGAAGCGATAAAAGTGCTTAACTATTCGCGGAGCACTCTAAGCTAGCTGACCTCACTGATTATTTGACATGAAAACTTCAAGTATCACCTCAAAAAGATAACTCTTGTTGAGGAAGACATTTGCAGACTATGTCTAGAAGAAAAGGAGACAGCGGTGCATATATTGTGCCATATACAGCACTGGCAAGTAGGAGGAAGACTGTATTAGGACATCATTGGGTTGGTGATCACTTGGCAGGCAACCTCAAGCTAAATGTACTGCTCGCATTAACAATTATTGATGTAGTAATGCGAACAGATGCCACACCAGTTCCAACTCAATAACGACATCCGAGAATCGCAGATCGAAAAAGGACCGACATAGTTTCGTGGTTTACTTCGGTTAATCCTTAACTTCAATGGAGCCACTTGTTGAACGATGCGCTGTCCCAACGTCTCACAATATATACCTATATACATATATTCTTTAAGAGAATGTAAGGAAAATATTCCTACGTACTTAATCAAATATATTAAAAACATTAATTACATATGAATGATAGCCAATGGTTTGAAAGATAAAAGAGAGAGTTTACTATTTATATATCAAGTTTATCTAAACCAGCAGAAAGAAGGTTGTTGACTTCTTACGACTATCGTATTTAAAAACCCACGTTTCGACGCTTGAGAATTAATTAACATTTGAAAAATGATCGAAAATAATATTAAACTCACCCAAAAGAATTGAGAAAAGAATAGAGAAAATAATTGCCAAACAGCACTAAAAATTCAAATAGTACGAATATTACCATTTGGGAATGCACATCAAACAGCACTTTTTAAGTTTGCTGTTATGTGTTATAATATTTTTGATAGTATATGGTAGTAGATAGTAGATTGATAGTAGATGGATGTAAGATATATTAACAAACAATACCTCAAACTATATACAGAGCAGTTGTCTTTAGCTAAGCATTTCATATGCTTTCAACATTTCTATATAATAACCCGAAATCACTTAGAACCAGGTCAAACCGATAAAAGTATAAAATGACTAATATGGACCTTAACTCAAAATAATACTAATGTTGTCCCAGGATATGACTAAGTCTCTAGGAATAAGGGGAATCGGCTATAGTCCGTGTGAGTCGAGCATTTACCTTCCGGGTCACCGGACCTTGGACAGTGTGTAGCCATTATCCTTCTACATACCGAAAAAAAAAATCACTTGTAAATTTGATCATTTTTATACGCTAGGAGCATATTGTGCTTATTAACTGATTCCGCACTTCAGAGAAAAATAAATCCATGACATAACAATTTGTATTGATTCAGTTTTACAATGAGTAGAAATAATGAAATGATTTTCTTAATAATCAGTCGATACTCCACATTTTTCAGGAACTCAAAAGTTTTATATAGTTTCTTCTGCAGAAATACTGCCATGCACATAATTTACTACATAGTGGAAAATACAATCTTCTATCACACATTGTGTCTATGTTTGGTGCTGTCAAATATGCAAACAAAATATTTTAGACTGGAGAGCATAAAGAATTATAAGTCCATCATAAATCTTATAAGCAATCGAAAACCCCAAACCTTTGTAGTGACCATATGAAAGGCTTCTCAAGAACGTTATTGTAGTTGGTAAACTCGCTAAAACAATCTGCAAGATTGAAATTCCCATTACAACGATATTTTTCAACGAATATTGTAGGCTTATAAAGATGGTATTTCCTATCAATTCTTCCGACCTAATTTTCTTTATATAAATTTTTTAAAATCATATATAATGCTAAGCCATACATAAAACTATCGAAATGGCCTATATATGAAGTGTAATCTTCTTGACAAATCTTTAAATAAGGGCTTAGTTTAGATCATGTTGTTATGAATTAACTTACCAACTGATATTATTATTGAATTAATAAGATTTTTTTTATTAAAAAAATTCTCTATTCTCTTCGTCTATTCTTAGTATAAACTATGCCTGCAATCCATATAATAATTTATACTTTTAGTTGACCAAAATGTCATATTATGGCCCATTTTCTTTAATAGCCGCGAATTATCTTATTAATTATTGCGATCAGTTCCACTTATCTCAAAACCTAACTATTTAAATGTTTCGCGGAAACTATGTACTAATTCGAAGTCTGTTATTCGAAACATATTTGCGAAGTAGGCTAATTCGAAATTTTTAGGCCAACTTTTTTTGTTATGCTAAGTGGAGCTGATAGGTTTTCTTCAAACATATTTTTTGGCCAATCTTCGAAGTAATTACTTTCAGCTAATGGCAATAAAGAGCGTTCAGATATTTAAATAAAAAAGAAACCAAAATCCAGAAGCAAAGTTAATTGAGGAATTTAAAAAACAAAAAAAGTTGGTTATCTTCGCTAACAGAACAAAAAAGAAATCAAGGTAAAAACCAAAACCAAAAACATAAGATCCAAAATCGAAATCTATTTTTTTCGGTGTGAAGCAGAATTATGAACTGTAATATCTATTGTTAAATGAAAGTGAAAGAATGTTAAACGCATGTTTGTTTTTATGTTCTGAGATATAAATTTTATTGATGATTTTTCGGAAAGAACGTATCTTAAGACAAGTTACTAAAAATTCCAATAAAAAATTATAGAAAAAATATATTATAAAAACCAAAATAAAACATTAAAATATCAAAGCATTTATTACATTTACAAAATGTTTTAGATACATTTTTACAATACCTGTTAGAATTTAAAACTAATACATATAGCCTTCACATACGCACGATGCTTAATAGGTCGGTGATGAATAAAAAAGGGGGAGTTACATTGTATATTACAAATACGCTTAATGCAACGACATACTAAATTATTTTTATCTTCTGAAAAAAATACGATTTTACAAGGTTCACAATATACTCATTAGTTGCATAGATTACTTTCAATTCCGATCGATTAAAATTTCCAATTTTTCAAATATGGAAAAAATAAAAAAACTCAGGTAGGTGAACTCTTAGTCTCTTCCTGACATGAGTTCGATTTTCAGAAAAGTCGACCTGGTTCATGAAATTAAAGACAGGTCGACTCATAAGTGAAGCGAATATAAACAGCACATTTATTTCATCAGGAGAGATATGAATATAACACAGAACCCAAACATTAACACATACAGAATGATTCTTTTTTAAAAGGCTACCGTGCTTACTTCCGATTTCTGTAGTAATTGTAAACCGGAAATTATTGATGTCATGTCTCCAAAGACATGTGCTACGTCTACTTTCCACTGTCAGTTGATCCAAATATCTTTTTTTAGTGGCAATTAAACTGCCGACAGACAGCAACGTAAATACCAAAGCGAATCAGAACGATTTTCTTGAATGGGATTAATGCCCAATTTGTCCATAGACCGTAGACCGTGTTTCGTTTTATGAATGATATAACGACTTCACAACGTGCAAAAAAAAGAGTAGAGAAAAAAAATAAACTAAGCGAAATAATCGTGTTTACTCTTGTGTACAACTTTTTATTTAATATTATTAACTCATTGAGAAAACAACAGAAAGCAAAAAGGAAAAACAAACTCGTTTTCTGTTTATGGCGAACTGCAACTCGTTTCGCCTTCACAGTTTGATGCGCTTGCCTAAATATTGGCAAATTAGTTAAAATAATAAAATTATTATACAATTGCAATAAATGTTTAATTAATTTTTCATTTAAATCAAATAAATGTTCGTAATAAAAGTAAATTAAGCGCTATAAAAAGCAATAGATATAAACAAACAGTAACAAAGGGAAGAGTAAGCGAGTATAACTATATCAAAGAACTCGATGCATCGAACGAAGTAGTAGTAGTAAGATTATCGAAGTAGTAAGATTGATCATCGAAAAATTTTTCTTGAAGAATGTTGGCATCAAGCGAAAGAAGTGCTTGAGTGGATATTAAAGGTTGTATCAAGTGACTATACCATTTTGAATGGAACGTTTTAAGACTTTCTAATCTATTGTCCTGAAAGCACAGAGAATCGTCTCATTTTCTAATTCGCTCAAACTCTGTTTTAAGCACTGATCTTCCTGTATTAAGCCTTTAAATCTGTGATTAACTCGTTAGTGAATTCGATTCCGACAAGAAATGCTATGAAACAACTATATAAAATACATACCATAGTATTATATATAAGATAAAAGCTGTGTAATTCTTCACTTCAAGAATTTAAAAAAAAAAAATAACATTTAAAAGCATTCGTCAGAATGATGAAAGAAACCCGAAATTGCTGACAGGAAAGATAATGCTATGTATTTGGTGGGACTACCAAACGTGGTACACTACTACCATTTCACCACATAAATGAGTCAAATCTATATTCTCCATAGTAAATGTAACTGAAGCAAAGAAACATAAAAGATGTCTGATGCCTTTTTATCATAAAATTATGCTAAAAGCAACCTACGCAATATCCAATAATTTTAAATCACTTTAAGGGATTTTACATTGTAATAATCAAAGAGCATAAATTGGTTAGACTGCGATCTAAGAGAGTATAAAGCTTCACTTTACAACAGCAATTTTACCTAATGTGAAAGCCTAAAGAGAGCAAAATAAATGTTCTTCGTAATATATTGCAGAGAGGTTTTATGCAAAATAAATGTCACGTTTCTACATCTAAAATTAGTGCCACATATTAGTCAACACTAAACATATATACTTACATACACAAGTTGGGTATGATGGTCAAAAAACCATGCCATGATATTTACAAATTATAAGATTAATTGGGCTTTGTAATTTCTGGATATAAAAAAATATTTGCGGTGAGTAATTTTTCTCTTAAAACACTTAAAAATACATATACTTGAATTAACAACTTTAGGTAAGCTTATCTTAATATTAACCACAAAAAATATTAATTTGAACATACCCAGATGGCGATGAGCCTTGACTAGAAGACTTTATATTGCCGTTAGTCATTTGTCGTTCCAGTAAATTCGGCATTGCAGAGCACTGCTGCTGTGGTTGTATATGTATAGGTGCTGATGAAGGTAGTGTTGTGGTAATATCTAATTTAGTTGAGTTTATAGTATTCGTTACATTATAATTTTTATTAATAGTCTTTGGTGATAATTCCTGTAAATTTTCGCAAACATTTTTCGATTTCACAACTTGATCCAACATATGTATCTCTAGCATGTTGAACTAGTGATGTTAGTATTTTACTAATTTTTTTCTTTTAAAAACGCAGGGAAAATTAAATATAAAGGGTTTACACAACTAAATACTTTTCTATAATTTATTTTATTACAACAAACTAATCATTTTTTTACATAAGTATGATCTAAAAATAAAAATCTGAATTTCTTTTCCCAAGAAAGGAGTTTGCGATATTTATTAATAAAAAAACCTTTCTTCTAATCTTGAATTGTTAAAGTTGAAGGAATCGTGATGGCATAGAAATGTTCTTAAAAAGGTAATTAAAACATCTTAATAAAACTTGTATATTGTATAAATTAAAAAAGTCAGATAATCAGATAATTACAATATTTTTATAGTACTCTTTCTATTATCACATTTTCCTCAATATTACTATGTATATGTATTAATATAAACATATTGTACAATTAGAGTTCTAATATAAATTTAGAATCTTATCCAGCAATAATTTCAATAAGCAATTTATAAACAAATCTCTTATCTTACAAAACTTTAATAGTTTTGTCATTTAAAACATATGTTAATAGACTATATGGACCGCAGTCAAGTGGTGTAAACATCTAACATTTTAACATGTAAACATTTTGGCAAATTATTAAGAAAACGGGGCCCACAACATTTATCAGAATCGAATATTTAAAACTACCAACTAAACTTAAATAGAAACGATGGACTGATGTATGGAACTAATGATAAGTTCAGCTTTTGTAGCGCAATACACACCACGGCCGGCTTTGGAAACCCTTCTGCAATTGAAATTCACCGACTTAACGAGCTGCAGAAAGCAAATATAAGCGACGCGATCTGAATTTATAATCTGCACTTCTATTAGCAGAAAAATATGTATTTTATATTATTTTTGCAAATTGTAAATTCAAAATTAAAAACAATTTGTTTATATTTTTATTTGCTCTTGGATTTTATATTTAATGGAAACTTTAGCACGAATTCGCGCCAATTTTAGAAAACGAATGCTTCCGTTCATATAAATTTTAACGGGTCCGTAACGCGTCGCGCCGTCTGTCCAATTAGAGTGATCGTTTTTTCAATTTACCATAATCGCTCTAGTAAAATGAAAAAATTCAGTATCTTTACAGATGGAAATTACAATTAAAAAATATACAAACAAGCTGTCATATTTCACCAAACTGATTATATTGGCCAGCATTTAATTTAGTGACTTTTATTTTACTTTAAAATACCCAAATGTCTAACTCGTATTTAGAGTTCTGATAAGAAACATTGACTAATTCTTCAGTGGAACTGAAAATAATATCGACTCTGAGTAAAGCATACTGATTAGATTAAAACTTATATTTATAATGGGAACAGTCATTTAATTCTAGAAGAATGAAGCAAAACATTGGTGCCAAGCATTTAATAACGTCTTTAACATTTTCTAAAGCAAAACTTTCAGATTTTTAAAATTTTTAAATTAATTTTAAATGAATTATATCTACATTTGGATATGTTGGGTATTCACATCAATATTATTACACATTTCGATATATACTATTACCAATTATTAGATATTTTCTATAAAAAATTTCTTATTATTTATCAAACAAAGGTAATCAGATAATTCCGACAAATATGTCGTATAACTTGAATATACCATATATATAAAACACTATAAATAAGTCAATTTAACTAATACTTAAAAGGGACTACAAAATTATATTTGACTAAGAGGGATTACGCACAAATAACATGCGTCTCTAATTTTTCCTATAGTCATAAATGCAGACACAAATTATAAAAGGCGACATAAACCAAGCGGGATCATTTAGTACCTGCTATATCTTTCAAACAGAATTAAATCCGAACCGACTTAAAATGCAAGAATTGGTAAATCACTTAAGAGTAATAGATGACTTCAAATGCTTCACTAACCACCAATCGAACAAACCAAGCACTATAAGATAAGTCGAGAAACTGAAAAGGGTATAGAGGCAAAAATCAAAAAATCGATTGACTTCTTTATATAATTACATAAAATCTGGGCATTGAAAGATCTGTAAGACTGTCTACGTTGTTATAACGGTGTCAGACATAATTCATATTAGATGAATACAGCAAAGGCTTTGTAGCTTCGTCAGTATATATAAAATTCTTCGAATATGCTCACCATACCGTGTAATACCGTGTAAAGAACTACAAAGATTCAGTATAGAAATCAAAAAACTCAATGGGACATTACAATACATTCTCCAAGAGAATGAAAAAGAAAATGTAGACTACTTATGGGTAATCTATGCACAGTACAAAGACAGTTCGAGAAGAATTATTATTATTACTAGGAATGACAATTTGAAACGAAAGCTCAAGTCTCCCAGCTGAATATCATATATAGTTCAATTCAATCAACCAACAAATAGCAAATCTTTTAAAGACGCCCCTTAATAGTTTAATTGTTATCAGTTTGGAAATTTTAATGCAATAAAGTTTTAGAATTTCAAAAAAAAAAGTTAACTAAAATTTGCAGATAAGAATGTTTTTTTTTCATTTAATTTATTTTCGATAAATGTAATTTCATTTTGTTTATTATTTGCGATAAGTTTTTTGGTAATTTAGTAATATCATTTTATAATTTATAATTTTAATTAATTATTTTAGTTACTATTTTTAACGATTTTTTTAGAGTAAGCAAACACGTTCTTAAATAGAACAAATAATCGTTTTAAAGATATTACTTAAAAATCTATTTCCGTAGATATGATAAACAGAAATAAATAGTTCGCGGATACCTATATTTATATAAATACTAATTACTTAAAAAAATGTATATATTTGTGGAACAAGTTTACTAATAAATTTATTACGTACAAGACACGGCACCGGTTACTACATATTACATGTGCCCCTTCTTTAACTCCTATTGCCGAAAAGTTGGACACAGAAATCAAGTAATTAAATATAAGTCTAAGATATACCTAGTCGTTAGAGCAAATTTTGTATGAGCGAAGCATTGTAATAGAAGTAAATCTAATCTGAGATAATAAAGTGATTTTTCTAAAACGATTAAACTGAAAATATGGAACACATTTCTCTCAAATAGAATATGAGAGGAAAAAGTTTAAATTGTGAAGTTCAATAAGTTGGTACTTAAGATCTATCTAGTGATCTCAACTGAGAAAATAATCTTATATCATATAGCTGTAATAAACAAAGTTACAGCTTATGTAGGTTGAGTGTTACAAAAAATATAACAGTAGGACATAATATTGTGTACTACAATATAATAATATAAACACCACCATAAAGATAATATCATACCTAGCATACTTAACATTCTTAGAATCATTACATATCAATTATTATGGATATCAGTAAGATATTTAATGGAACCTTTTCATTCTATTATGTTCTTTTCTATATGTGAATACACACATAAGTCATTTATGGAATTATTATATAGTAATAGTATTACATATATAATATGTTTCATATTCTCATTAGCTAAGAGACAGCCTAACCATATTATATATGTGGTATATGCGTAAATCTGTTTTAGAATAGTTTTTATTAGAAATGTTTTTAAAAATGTATTTAAATTCCTGTTAAAACAGTTGTAGTGAAACAATTATTAAATAGCTATATGGATTTGTATTAAATAGTTTATTTTATTGGAAATAATTAAGTAATTCATTAGGTTGTTATAGTTTCCAAGCCTATCAATACAGCTAAGTGACATGTGTTCTTATAAACTGTTTTCGTGTTAATTTCTGTAATTGTATCTCTTTGATTCTATGAAAAATAAATAATTAATACATAAGCTATGAAAAGATATATCATACACTAAACAGTGACATAACAAGAAAATTATTGTAATATCTATCTAACAGATATATATACATATATGTAATAAATTTCTTACCCATGTTGTTTTTGAAATTCAAGCTATGAGTAAAACAGAATAACTTTGACAGATTTTACGTAATAAATTAAGTTTAAAAAAAACTGCTAGTTATGATGGAGTCTAGGTTTTGATGGATTATAGCTTCAAACAATGACTTCTGATGGCTCTATATAAAATAGAAAAAGAGAAACAAAATATAAATTTGACCCAAATTGTTTTAAAACCTGTCAGATTTACAAAAACATAACGCTTCTCACATGCGATGGGTATATATGGATATGTGATTATCTAATCATCTTACAACTAGATTTAAAAAAATTGACTTCAGCCAATGTTGAGCATCCGAGAACCCTAAAGGCTATATAGCTTGTTGTGATAACCAGTTATCTTAAATACTATTTAAATATATTTCTGAATGATGTTTAAGGACACAAAAGTGAAGCGTACTTTATATTCCATCAACTTTACGGAAGTGATTCTGCATCTGGCACGTGCTTATTATAAAGACACATTTATACACTGACGTATATAACAATTTGCTTGCACTAATAACATCGCTATTTCATTGTTAGCTTTGGTCGTATAGAAAGAGTATGAACATATATGTTGCCTATTACTAGTGATGACCAAAAACAACAATTGATATCAGCCTAAACATCTCAAAGAAAATTAACATTATCCATAGATACTACCACAAACTCAGTAGGAAACTGAATGCAAAACAAAAAGCCATATATTTTATACATTACAATCCAACCTGTAATTCTGTGAGTGGCACAGAAGTCCTCAGAAAATATTGCGCATAATATCTTTGTTCTTCTATGCTTAGACAATATGTTATATAACCAAATGAACCGGATTCGAATAACGACAATGATATTTTTACGTGGCGACATTAACATTATTTAGTGCATTAACATCTAGTGACTAAGCTAGCTGTCATGAGTAGTGAAAGTGATGCTTCAGTGAAGGAAGTGTTTGAAACGGCAGTCTAAAGATGAAGACATTAAGGAAAGTAGTATATTCGATGGAGTGATGAAGTTGCAAAACCACTAACTGGGCTGGATGTACGGGATGTTTGAAAATGTGTTTGTAGAATACAGACATTTTGCAACTAAGCAAAACTGAGCGAAGTGTAGCCAGAGGAACTACCTAAGAAGTATCAGAAATTTAGTAAGATAAACATAATATTTGCTCAAACTATGTTAACCAGATGACGACAAATACATACTAGTTGATAAGGCTTTCTGAAAAGGGGTTCGTAACTAAATCAAGTATCAATACATACAAAAAATTTAAATTCGTTCTACACTACTATATATAAAGTAAGAATAATTTGCATATAAAATTATGTGATCCTGAAAAATGTTGAGTTCGTAGCATTGAAACCCTTTTCTCTTTCTAACTATTTAAAAAACAAACATTTATTAATTTATAAAATAATTTTATAAAAAAGTATTTAGTTATGTGAAACTAAAAGTATAAGTAAAGTTAAAATAAATTTATTATGTTGCATGCATTACTGCAATGTTCAGGTAAAAAGGGTTCTGGTTGACATGCAACCCCAAATGTTCCGGCATAAACGCAGCGATCCAAGTTTATACAAATTTGGCACGTGACACAGAAACAAATTTTCTGGTATTTAAAAAGTAAAGAAATTAAAAACGTTGGTTGGAAATATTTGGTGAAATCGCTTTGTTTTGATTGGCAAAAACATAAAGTTATTTGTTTTTTTTTTGCATTTTTATAATTTGTAATACGAGAATTACACACTTTTTAAGGTTTTTTTTGTAAATATATATTGCCATTATTTACACGTTTACACGTTTTATAACTTATTTGTTGTTGTGGTGAGGGGAGGCCATTGCTCCACGAACCAAATTGCTGCGTTCCGTTTGGCGTGCAACAAATTTTTGTGGATTTCATTGCACTTCATGGATTTGGATTTGGTGGGAACAACGCACAATGGTACGCACGCAATCAGCTGTTGACATTTTGGTTAACGGATTTTTAAACACAATTTCACTTTTTTTTTTTTGAAAATTACATTTTCTTAATTATATTTATTTTTGTAATAATTTGGTGTTATTTTTCTATTTTTTTTAAAATTTCTGCAACACAAAAAAATGTTTTTCGCTATTTTTATATTAAATAATTTTATTTTTTGTGCATGAAAACACTTTTGTTTTTCTTTCTAACATTTTTTTAAATTTAGAAATATTTTTTTATTTATTGCATTTTAACTTATGTTAACTTAAAAAACTAATTGATTAATAAAAAAAAATATGAATAAATGATATGAAACACTAAAAAATTCGCTTACAAAACTACATCGAGGAAAAAAAAACTTCCGCAAAACAGTAAACTACATCACGTAAACGTCGAGGGCCAAGCAATAGACGACTAACACAACCCGGGACCGACAAGCGACGTATTCACCTACTCAAATTGATTACTAACGCGAAACTGTTTGCAAACAGCACAACCAACTCGAATGCAACCACAAAAGCAAGCAAAGAAACTGTGATTCCAATTCCATAACTGTGCAAACAACAACAACAAAGCCAACAACGCCAACAACAACACTTTGTAACAAGTAAACAAGTTCCACATTTGGAGCGAAAAAGCAATAACAAAACTGAACACACACAGCACCAGTATTTGTGCAACCGGCAAAATACAATATACAAAATAATACAATACAAAAACATAGAAAAAAAACGGCAGATAAAAAACTAAAGATTTACAAAAACACCAAAACACCAAAAGCTTTAAATAAAAATGTAATCATTCCAAAAAAAATAAAAAGGCAAAAAAAAACAATAAACAAAATTATGTGAAACAAAGAATATGACAAATAATACAGAAAATAAATTAGTGATGAAAATTCAGTTCAACTTAATGATAAAAAAAGACAAAACAATATAAAAATTCTAAACAAAAATAAACATGTACATTTTTCAAGAGGGGGTGGACACACAAAATGCCTATGCACATAAGCTCAATGCGTTTCGCATGCACACATGCACTTATGTATGCCGAACTCTTTGTTGTTTCTTAAAGATAACAACAAATACATACAATTTATATATAAAATCGTTCGTTGTATAAATAACGCAAAAGAGTGAATTGTATTTGTTATTATTTGAATTATAAAAAGTAAAAAGTTAAAGCAAATAATGCACCATAAGGGCAATATGCGTGCAGGACGCTCTAAGTGCAACAATTCCATTTTAACTTTCTGTAAACATTTCTATGTACATACATACATATGTATGTGCATTTGCACACTTATAACAGCAACAACTACAATGCGGCACAAAATCGCCGTGCAAACGATTAAAATTGTTTTTTGGTTTGTTTGCTATGTTATCGTTTCCATCTCATGTTTATATTGTTTTCATGACCTTGCCGGGCAACACATGTATGAATTACGGTATTTTTGTCCCTTCTTTATAATTGGAATTTTTTAGGAAATTAATTTTGTTATTAGTACGACTCCACACAAGCAACAGACAAACTAACACATGAATTTATATTGACACATTGAAGGCAGTCAGTTATAGCCTTGCTCTCACCGCTGCTGAATAGACTTGCATAGTTCAAAAGCATTGGCTAACATTGAGAAAAGTAAAAAAAGTCGACAATACTCATTACTCTCTCAATTCACCTTTGATTTAAATGAGAAAATAATTTGCTTTATTATTTGTTTCATTTGTATTATTTGTCTTTTTTTAGGAAAGTGTAGGATGCACGTAATTGGCTTCATGTCGTTATGGCTATGTGCGTAGCAGTTGAAATTATTGCACACTGTAAGGTCTGTTCAGTGTTGCCACTCAAGTGGGAATTGTATGCAAATTACATGAAAATAGCAATTACCTCAAGCTTTGACCGCTGTTAAATATAATATAATAAGATCATTATTAATTGGTTTTTTTAATGGCCTGGTAACTCAATTAGCCATACAGTGCAGGATGGGATGAATATTGTGAAAAAAAAATTTGCTTTTAATTTAATTTTTATAATTAAAATGTAGAAACCACCATTTTTTTTATTGTTTAATTTTTAAGAAGTAACACTGTTAAAGGACAAGTAACTTACAGTATAATTTAATTATTCTGACTATCTATTATATCAATATTATAAGCAAATGGAGTCTTTGTTCTATAGTGTCACCTTAAGTTTGAAAAATTATACTTTCTTACTTAGTTATTATTTACATACATGTATAATCCTTGGCCATGTGGGCTAGTCACCATCAGCTTGTCTGATCAGGAACTTATTTTCGCAAGTTGGGTGTTGTTGTTGCCGTGATCGTCGAACTCGTCTAGTGACTGCGGGACGTAGACGCAGCCTTTACTAGTTGTTAGTATAGAGTGCCTTTAAATCAATTTTTAACTGAATATCTCACCAAAAATATCGATATAGGTACATACATATGTCATCGCGTTTTTTAACAGCGACTATCGATTAAGAAAAGTTTTAAGCTGTCCTACCATATGACTAATAGACCGCCCCCGAATTTTGATGTCAATTTGGACAGCTTGTCGTTGCACCTAATTCAACACAGGCTAACAATGCTTACTGAGCCATAAATCCCAAGAATTTGCTTTTTCAGTACTCGTAATGCCCTCTCATAACTGTTGAAGCATCTGCATCATACTACAGGGCAGACGGTTCTATTTCCAGAGGAGTATATTACTCAAATGCTGGAATCAGCATCACTTCTGCATCTCTAAATGGACATAATTTTTGCACATAAGACGGTTTCCAGAAAAACAAAAAGTTTTGCAACTGCAAACGAATAGGTATATGTAGTGACATTGTTGCCAAGTCGTTGAAAAGATTTGTTTTGTTAACAGAAAATAATTTGTTTTGTTTTCATTTACTATACTTTTTGTGCTGAAACGTTAAATTGCATTTATAAAATACTTAATAAAATTTAAAAAATTATGACTTTGTTTCGAAAATATGTATCTAAAGTAGAGCACCATTAAAGAATGGTGATAACTACATTCACCACACTCTTGCTTAGATAAACTTGGATTTCTAACAATATTAATCTTAATAACTATAACATCTACGCTTTATAATTGCAATGGAATTTTCACTACTTGATCCTTTATCGTCTAATAGTTGATATATTTTTTTAATGATTTATAAGAGGACGAGTCGGAGTAAAAAAAGTGGTGCAGAAAAATGTTTTACCTCATACTCCATAAATAATTAACATAATGAGTGAATATTTTACCTTACTCTTAGCTCAACAAAAAACTTTACACATATATGATTTTTTACAAATAGATTACTTACAATAAAGAAAAATAGAATAGAAACTATACCATCAAAATAAGTTAACCGATTTGTGTTAAATCTTTTTAATCATGGATTAGACGAAACACATAATTAGCGTGCAGCACATTTACTTCATAAAATCAATATTAAACCATAGCCTACTTTGTGGCGCAGACAATAATAATAATAATGTATGTATGGCTAATTCTAACTTAACTTTTTAAAATACTAATAGAATAAAAATAATGGATTTGTATGTCTTATAACGCTAAAATAGAAAACAATAATTAAGATTCAGTCAGATATGTTATTGATAGAATGATGAAACAAATCATTGGCAACGTCCATCCGAAAAAGTAAAGAACATACGGTTGATGTAGCGATCAAGCCTCATTTGTTATGAATTTCAACATACGAATGTTAATAGTGCTATAGCCGGAACTAAAAAGTAAGCAATATACTGAAACAATTTTATTTATAAACTAAAATCGGAGTTCTTATTGATCTGAGTTCTATATATAATAGTTGTATAGAAATACAAGTAAAAATTATTAAGTGATATAATATATATATATACGAGTATTTAATCCTTTAACTTCTAGGAGGAGCATAGGAGCATAGTGATATAATAATTTAGTTAAATTAAACTGTGTATTAAGTAACTGTGTATTACTTAATGGCTGATTCAATGGTATATTTGGGAAACATAGTTATGTTTATGTAATGGTTGCATATGTGTGCTTGTGGACTTTCTAATCTGTACGATTTTTAATTTGGCTACTTATTTGAAGGACCTTAACTTTTGTTGGTATCGAATTTTCAAAAAAAATTTTCTTTAATTCATATTAATAATTATATAAATATTTCAGTTAAGTCATTGTTGTTAGTACTAACAATAGGTGTTGGTTTTAATTGTAATAGACCACGTCTTCTCACTAAACTGTGAAAAGTTTTCAAAGTATAGCTACATATTTCTTTTGTACTGAATTAGTACAAATTTGAACTCACACGATTTATTTATGGACAACGGAGAACAGTGGGTATTTACTTCCAACGAACAAGGCTTCATAACCATGGTAGATGGAAAATTTTCCATGACATTTGGTGTCATATAGTATGTTTCATTTCGTCAGTGACACATATACTCTGTGTTTATCAGTGTAAAATTTTCAAAGCATTTCGAATCCAAAATAGTAAAACTGATTACTCAATTTTTTTAAGTAATAATACGCAATACTGATTTTATGTGTGTAGATACATTTATTCTGTTTGAATAATGTAATCTTTGCAGAAACCCACAAAAACACATTTTCTATCAAATATTGCAAAAAAAAATAAATAAATTTCTATGGTCGACTTATAAAAAAGCAATAAAATAATTCCAATCAAAATCCTTTCAAGCGCACGGAGATTACATCACGAAAATATTTTGTTCCCATACGCCATCCATCCTTAACTGAATATGGAACCACCAAGTCTGGCATCACACAAGTACTTTGCTCGCCACTACAGAGTATTCTCTTGTTACTGCGATGGGACGAAATCTCTTCCACTCTGCACATGTGTGTTTACTGATGTGATTTGTGGATTCCATTTGACACAATAACAATTGTCGATGATGTTTGGGGTGCAGTTTCTGTAATCAGTGATAAGCGGTGCTCGCTGTTCCCGTTCACTTCTTGGCTTCACTTGCGAATAATTCGCAAAGCTTTACAGTAGCTTTACAAATTATTTGCAAATTAAATTGAGTTCCATGCTGCTTATCATGTACAGTTTCCATACCGTGACATTATTCAAAGTCTGTATTATTTCTCGTCTAGATACTGTAGAGTGGAGCCGATGCTTGTGGGAGGAATAAAGTAGGAGACTTGTTTGTCTTCTAAATTCCAAAGAAATTCTATTACAAGCATAGCATATTATTTACAAGAAGATACTAGGGTGTAGATACATATATTTTCACCGTCGTCGCGCTGTCTGCATCCATAGTAGCACTCCAAAATACCCCTATTTTGTGTTTACTAGGGAAGTGCTTTATGTAAATATATGGAAATGAAAATAATTTTTTGCTAAATCAAAACAATTTTATTATCTATTCTGAATGCTATTTTAAGGGTAATTTTTTATTATGTTTATTACTGCTATGTTCGTACACAGCTATCTACGATAATCAATTTAACAAGAAGGACTAGTAGCCAACAC